GAGAAGGTCTATAAAAGTAAATAGAGTCTGATAACTATACAAGAATCGTATAAATATATCCAGGATTTAAAGAAGTGTGGCTTTAATAAGGCACTGCTATCCAATTAGCATTCACAGAAGGACAATGTACCTGTGGTACAATCTCACTCTACCCTTCTCCTCCCTCTTCCTAGCCTCTAATACCAGCTATAGTACTTTTCCTGAGAACTTTGACAATTACTTTCATAAAATGGAAACACAAATGTAAAGTTATTTAACAAATCATTATAGTCATATGTGAATACTTAATGATCATGTGATAAGCAAACCACAGGAATAGGGAAGATACTTCAAGATGCAGCAAAGGCAGGAACCTGCTACAAATGATTCTAGTAGCCTGAGAAACAAAACTCAAATTTCCCAAATAAGATTTCAGGAAATAAGAAAGCTTCTGCAAAGCAAAGGAAGCAACTGAATGAAGAGACAGCCCACAGAATGAGAGACAATCTTTGCTAGCTCTACATCTGACGAAGTTCTAGTATTCAGAATAGAGAGAACGTAAAAGACTAAATACCAAGAAACTAAATAAGCCAATCAATAATTATGCTAATGAAAATAATAGGCAATTCTGAAAAATGAGATTTAAACAGCCAATAAACATATAAAAAATTCAACATCCAGAGTCATCTGGAAAGTGTAAGTTAAAATAACATTGAGACTCCATCTCATTCCAGTCAGAATGGCTGCCATTAAGTAAACAAATGGTAACAAATGCTGGTGAGGATGACATGAAGAGGGAACCCACACACTGCTGGGAGGAATGTAAACTTATGTAGTCACTGCAGAAACTACTACAGAAGCTAGATAAGGAAAATCAAAAAAAAGAAACTAACATATGATTCAGCTCTACCACTTCTGAATATATATCAAAAGGATTCTACATCCTACCACAGAGACATTTGCACATCCATATTTATTGCTGCACTATTCGTAACAGCCAGAAAATGGAACCAGCACATATGTCCACCAAGAGATGAATGGATAAAGAAAATATGGTTCATATATACAACGGAATTTTATTTATCCATTGAGAAGAATAAATTCGGCCTTTTGTAGGAAAATAATGCAACTAGAGACCATAATGTTAAATGAAATTAGTCAGACTCAAAATTATAATATCATATTTCTCTCATTTATGGGTCCTAGATTTTGCATGAATACATAAAATTATATATACCATGTTATGAAACTCTCTTTATATATATATGGAAGTGGGAACACAACTGTCTAGGAATGAATAGCAGGAGGAAGTGGGCAAAAGGGAGGGAATGGTGAATATGGCCATGGACATAAACATGTATGTATGAAGCTTTGTTTAAGAAACACATCATTATGTGCAATAAATAGTATGAAATCTAAAAGAAATTCAGTGGACAATTATCAAATGAAAATCCTGGGATTGGAGAGATGGCTTGGTGTTTAAGAGTGCTGGTTGTTCTTGTGGCAGACCTGGATTTGATTCCCAGCACCCACATGGCAACTAATAATCGTTCCTAACTCCAGTTCCAGGGGAATCTGATGCCTGCCTCTGACCCTCACAGGCATTGTACAGCAAGTATACTTACATACATGTGGACAATGCACTCATACACATAAAATTAAAATAACAAATAAAGTCTTTTTAAATGAAGAGTCCTTTAAGATATGTAGGAGCAACTCCTATGAGAGAATAAAGGGTTCAATGCTTTTAATTTATTTTCATAGCTTTTTCTGTGCTTGGTTTATTTCATGGAAGGTAATGTTCTCTAGTACTCTAAATACAAATAATTCTGTGTTACTTAGAAAGTAAAATATAGGACATATGAAAGAAGCATATATAGAAGAAAAATAGAGAATATGAATAAGGGACTGTTTGGAGACATGGCTCAGTGGTTAAGCACACTGGCCATTCTTGCAGAGAACCCATGTTTATTTCCTAGCACCCACATATGGCAGCTAACCATCTGTAACTCCAGTTGCAGGAAATCAGGCGCCCTCTGCTGACTCTACAGGCATTGCACAACATGGGCACACCTACCTACATGCAAGCAATACATATAAAATATTTTTCAAATATTTTATGTTATTTTATGTATAAGAGTGCATATTGCTTACATGTAGCTAGATGCACCTGTGCCATGCAGTGCCCGTGGAGGTCAGAAGAAGGCATCAGATCCTCTAGAACTGGAGTTAAAGATGGTTCTTAGCCACCATGTGGGTGCTGTGAAATGAACCCGGGTCCTCTGAAAGAGCAGCCAGTGTTATGAACCTCTGAGCTATCTCTCCAGCCCAGTCAAATAAAATATTTTTTAAAGAATATGAATATAGACTATAAAATAATAAAAAGAAGGAAAATATACCCAGTGAAAAAAAAGTATTTTTATAATTTCTTCCTCTGAGGCACATGATTTGTCATATGGCCCACTAGGTCTGACTTAACACTTTAAAAATAGAAATGATTTTTAAAATGACAACAGTCATTAGTTTCCACTATAGACTTTCCATGTCTAAAATCTTTGAAAGAAACCTGATGCTACATAGGAAAGAACATGCTACCATACCTGTGTATCCGGTTTTACACACACAGTTGAAGCCCCCTGGGAAATTCTGGCAGACAGCCCCAACCTTGCAAGGCCTGGGAAGGCACTCATTGATTTCTCTCTCACAGGCTCTCCCAGAGAAGCCGTCAGGGCAGCTACATGAAAATCCCCCCACTAAATTGTGGCAGGTCCCCCCATTGTGGCAAGGGGCTGGAAGGCATTCGTCTGATGTCGACTCACACCAGCTGCCGGCATAGCCTGATGCACATTTGCACTGGAAAGGCCGCAGAGGCTCATTGGCTGCAATGATAACAGGCAGACTCTCCTGGCTCTTCAGTGCAGACCCCACTGCCAGTTTTCGGATGCAGCTGCCCCGTTCTGACAAGGGCTGTGAATGCATGGGTCGTGATCGACAGACTGCACCTTGACTCCTCTCTGACGAAGAAGAATCTCTTTGATACTTTCAAAGACGGTGGCTACGCCACTGGAGTTTACATACTGGTTATTATTTCCCTTCTCAGCTGTTAAGAGAAACTGTTCTGTTGCCCTCCTCATAAGCAGCATACAGTTGCACAGTCGTGCCCAAGCCAGTGAGCTGGGAACCAGCAATGAGCAGGAAGTGAAGGTAGTGGTTAGTCAAGAAGTACTTGACTGTGGGAACACCTATACGGAGCAAGATGATCCAGACCAAAAAAAAAAAAAAAAAAAAAACTCGGATAGTGTTGGTGACTGCATTGTGAACTCCGTCGCTGCTGAGGGCTGTCAGATCAAAGGTGCCATCAGTGGACCTGGGCTGGGAGTTCAGGTCACAGCTACCCACTGGAATACTGAAGAGGCTGGTGACCCCTGAGGTGATGGAACAGTGGAAGCTGTCTAACACATCTGGATCCTGAGGCTTCACAGAGCCTAAAGTCCCACCTGTAAACAAGCTGCCATAATAATTAACAAATATCTCCACTGTATGGGACTGTGAGGGGTTGTCATTTTGGTCTAGAACACTGATGTGCACTGTTCCAGTGGAAGACATCTGAGGAGCCCCAGAATCTCCAGTGACCACAGACAGAAGTCTGAAATCTGTTCCCTGTTGATCTGTTCCCTGTTCCCTGTCAAGACCCTGGCTGTACTCAGAACTCCAGCAGTATTCAGACTGAAATAATTGGTGGCTGGCCGTGTGCTCAGCAGATGGTAGGTGAAAGGGCCTTGATTTGGGGGGAGGTCAGGATACGTGGACTGAAGGGTCATCACCAGAGTTCCTGGGTGCTTGTTTTCTAGAACTTCCCCGTCACTGATGGTCAACACCAGCCCGTTATCATTGATGTCTTCCAGAGTGACTAGCAAGGAAGCACTTCCTGTCGCCGAAGGGGTCCCTGAATCCACAGCCACGACTCTGAGATTATAAACAGGTAGGGTTTCCCGGTCTAGCTCTGAGGTAACTGTGACCTGGCCTGTCTGTGGGTTAATGGAAAAGGCACTGTTTTCATTCCCTGATCCAATGAAGTAAGAAAACGTGCTCCAGTCAGGGATAGAGTCAGAGTCAAAGGCACCCACAAAGGTCACATTTGTCCCAGTCGGGACCCCTTCACTGATCTGGACTTGGTAGATGTTTAGACTAAACACTGGTGGGTCATTGGCATCAAGCACGGTGATATTCACAGTGACTTCGTCTATATCTGCTCCCTGAATGCTGCCGAAGTTCTTGTCCAAGACCTTCAAGGACACTCTTTCTGCTTTCTCTCTAACAAGAAGTCCAGACACATAAATCTGCCCCATCTTCTTGTGGATCTGGAAACCCTTTTCCTACTGTTTCCAAAGAGCAAACAGTGTACTTCCCCATCAGTACCCATGTCCCGGTCACTGGCAAACAGTTCTCCAATCACAGTCCCTTCAGGAGCTGCTTCTGAAACTTCAAAGTAGTGCAGTTGGAAACAAACTGAGGCACATATTCATTTGTCCCCTTCAGCTGGATATTCACAGTGGTGAAGCTATACCTTTCTTCAACAGGAACATTGAGGCTTTCACAGTAAGATGGTAGCTCTGCTTGGTTTCAAATTCTAGGAAGCCTTGGGTGGTAATGACCCCTGTGTTGGGGACAATGACAAACAGGTCACTGTCAGATGACTGCACACTGTACACAATGACAGCATTGGCTCCAGAGTCTGCATATGTTGCATTTAAGTAAATGATTGTGGTTCCACTAGGGGCATTTTCTAAAACAGTAGGGAAATATTCATCAGGAGCAAACACTGGAGAATTGTCATTCACATCAATCACGTTCACAGTCACACTGGAGTAGCCTGTCCTTGCGACCCATCCTCCATCTGTGGCACTGATTGTCACCTCATGTTTCTGGCATAGCTCATAGTCAAGGGCTTTGGCTAGTGTTAACACACCTGTAGAGGAATTAATTGCAAAGATGCCCCCTTCATTTCCTAAAGAAATGTCATATCTAATCAACCCATTCATGGCTGCATCCCAATCCCTGGCAGAGACACACTTCTGACCACAGCCCCAATGCCATGACTCTCAGGGATGGTGGCACTCACGTGGCTCTGAGAAAACTCAGGAGTATGGTAGTTCTCATCAGTGACTGTTATGTGAACAGTTGCTTGGGAAGAAAGTGGGGGGGGTGCCTTTATCCTTTGCAGTTATTGTGATCAGGAAGTTTTGATTCAGGTCAGAAATCAAGGAAGATACTATTGAAATCCACCCTGTATCACTGTCCAATTTAAACTTCTTGAAGTGATTCCCATCAGACATGAAATATTCCACTTCAGAGTTCAGTCCACAATCTCTGTCATCTACCACAGTCACTTTGATTAACTTGGTGCCAACTTTGACATTTTTGGTGACCGGAGTAAAATATTTACTTTTAAGAAACTGAGGTGGGTTATCATTGCTATCTACTTTGTTGATGGTAACTGTGGTCTCGCTGAGTAAGGATGGATTGCCGTGATCTGAAGAGGTCACAATAAAGCTATGCAGGTTAACGTTCACATTACCCAAATCACTGACATTTTGGAATTTTAATACCTGCTTATTGAAAATCTCACCAGTGGTGGCATTGATTCTGAAATATTCTGAATATTTGATGAAATAAAACACCTGTCCATTTGACCCTTCATCAGGATCTGTAGCTGATACTTGAGTCACTTTGGAGCCAATCTCAGTAAGTTCAGGGCAATCTAAATAATAAGAGGGTCTGCTGAATCTTGGGGCATTGTTATTGATGTCCGTCACGAATATGGTGACATCTGTGCTCACGGTCCACCCAGAATCATGGGCAAAAACTCAGATCCTGTAGCGATCTGTATCTTCCCTATTTAAAGGTCTACTAATGACAATATCTCCTGTGTTGGGGTTAATTGAAAATGTGAGACTTGCATCTACTATGGAGTATCTACTAACTGCATTTATGCCAATGTCTTCATCGGAAGTTGTGACCCTGGTGACCGTATATCCCAAGGGGGAATTTTCAGGAACGTAGGCACTGAATATCTGAGAAAACCTTGGTGCATTATCATTTTCATCTAAAATATTGATGATGACTTTTACTGAGGTGCTCTGAGAAGGGGACCCTTTGTCTGAAGACTTCACAGTGAGCTCATAATGAGTTATTTTTCCTCTGTCTAGTGGGCGAATGCTTCTGATCTCACCTGTTGCATGATTGATGGTGAAACTATTTTCTTTGTTACCACTAACAATCTCATAGTCTAACTGTCCATTTGGCCCACTGTCTTTGTCCATTGCTGAAACAGTAAGTATTTTTCAAGGAGATAGGTTTTCTAATACTTCAGCCACAAATGGATCTTCTTTGAAAGTCGGGGCATTGTCATTGGTATCCAGCACTGTAATGTCAAGCTTCTCATAAGACAAAAGGGAGGGAAGCCCCCGTCTCTGGCTTCAATCCACACAACATATTTTTGTGTCTTTTCAAAATCCAAAGGCTGACTGATGGACACCTGTCCTGTTAATGGACCAATTTGCAAAGTAATGCCCAGGTTCCCACTTGCAATATAATATGACAAAGTTTCTCCTCTCAAAGAGGACCCTGTGATGGTGGTGACCAAAGTGCCCACTGGCTGGTTTTCTAGAAACATGAATGTTTGTTCTTTGGCTCTGACTTTGGGAAAATCTCCTTTGTTGTCAAATCTAACAGTCATGGTGGTGGAGTCCGTTTTTGGAAATGAGCCACCATCTTTCACCTGAATTGAAAATGTCACCTGAGAAGCTCCACTCAGTGGCCCAGATGCCATGATTACTTCTCTCAGGAGATCGATGTGAAATTTGTCAGAGTTTCTGCACGAAAGGGAATAATGGAGCTCAGCATTGTGTCCAATGTCAGTGTCTGTGACCATGACCACAAAGACAGGGAACCTATAAAAGAGGGAGTTTATGGTTATAATCACATGGAATCCAAGTAAAACAGCTGGTGGTCATTTAATGCATATAAGACGCTGAACTGCTGCTGAATACAACTTTTTCTCATCGTTTTGGGCAGAGCGGGATCTTCTTTACTGTCTCTGAAACCTCAAATCAAATATGTTTAAGGAGAGACTTCAGAACCTACTGCTGATTTTCTCACTGAGCTCATGAAGGAGAACCCATGAAGGAGAAGTGGCTGATCATGCAGAATGAAGGCTCCCAAGAGGATATCTGCTCAACAAACATGCTGCATCCTAAACGGTGCTGTGTTCAGCACACCCATTGTTTCATGGCAACATTCTTTTTAAATCCCTGAGCTATGACAGAAAAAACATAAAGTATGTGTATGTACGTGTTTGTATTATAAATTTAAATCATCATAAAGTGGTAAGAATAAGAAATGAGGAAAGATGGACTGAATTTGGATTTCAAGACTTAGTGCTTGGCGTGTGGCCCATAAACAGACTGTGGCAGAAATATGCAGACAAAATTCCAGAAGGATGTTTTTTATTCAATGTTTTATTTCAGAATCCCTTCCCAACACCCCACAGAAGTGTCTGTGACAAATATGAAGTTGTATGTGTCTTTCAAAAGGGCCAAAGACTCATTAATTCAATCAAAAGGTGACCAGGATACCTCACTGTGCCTAGGTCACCTGCTCTCTATATCACACATTGGATGAAATCAATCATGCTACCACATCTTTCAGCTGAGAACTTTATGAGGGATTATGACTTTCCATTTGCATTTTTGACAGAAAGCTGGCATGCTCATTTATGAATTTTATTCTTAAAATTGGTATCATTTAGGCATTTCCAAGTTAGTAGAATATCAAAGAATGCGAAAAGAAATGCTGAATCAATTCATTTACTCTTCTAACTAAAAGCATTTTCAAGTAAGGAAGATTATATTAGTTATACTTTCAATTTTTACTGTTTACGATTTTATCTAAAACTTACAAATGGCAGGATATCTATTCAGTTCCTAAAAGGGCATACCACTGCTTGCAAATAAGCAAGTGATACCAAACCTAACTTAAAATAGATGCAGAAATCTAAATGCATGTTGTTAATATCACAGAAATCCATGAAGGGCTCATAAGAATGTGAGCAAACAGAAGCAAGACTGGAATAAAAAATATTTGATATTTAGAATTAGCAATTCAGTCAGCATTTTGAAAATATATCTAAGAAACATTAAAATTTAATATTTATTTTCAACAATTATATTGAAATGTTTACTGATTCCCACATGAAATTTCCAATGCAGAAAATTTTACATTAAAATAAGGACCTTGTTTCTTCTCTTAGGGAAATTTCATACAACTTCTACATCAGGGCTGGACCATTGTTGACTATGAAGGACTATCTGTTTTACTCATTTACTGTGATAAGAGTATTAAGTAATAGGAAAGGTGTAACAGGTATAAAGTCTTAAACACAATTAATCTGGGTAAAAGGCATTATTTTAATTTATAATACTAGAATTTAAATTTTCTTCAACCTCATTCACATCCTGAATTTTAAGAGAATTTTGAAGATTAGACGATATATAGACTATAGATAGTCCTGCTCATAGAGCCTGACCATCTGCATACAATAGATAACCTCAGTGCTGAATTACCTGGAAGAGTAGGTGATGGGACATGAGTGACATATGGGTGATGATGGAACTGTGGTGGGTTATCACTGACGTCAGTCACTGTGACACACACACTGGTAGAACTGGAAAGAGGCTCTGGGGACCCAGCATCGCTGGCAACCACTACCAAAGTGTAATTATCTTTGGTTTCTCTGTCAAGCAATGCACTTGTGATGATCTGAGCTGTGGATGGGTTGATGGTGAACTGCGAATTTCCACCCACGAGGCTGTAACTGAAACATAAAGCAGAGAGAGGCAGATTGCTTTTAGTTATGATGTCTCAATGCCCTACTTAATATGCTTTAAAAAATATGGCAGAAATGCAGTGAACTTTTTATAAGAAATAATTAGCAAAAAAAAAATTCACACAATGTTGAAATCCATCTAGAAAACAATCCCTTCAAACTTTATATCACCATCACATTAGCTGTCAGTACTCTAAATTGTCCAATGACCATAAGCAGATCTCTACAAAGAGCTCAGGATTCTCAGATCAGTGCAAGCCCATAAAATAAACCCACAGCCAGAAAGTATAAACACAGACTTTGTTCTAACACTGGGGGTAGTGGCCAGAGTCACTGAGTATTTTTAAATCATCCTAAGAAGTATTTCTGCTGCACCTATAACAAAGCAGGAAGAATTAGTCAGAGAAATTATTCTCTAAAGAGAGAATAGTATATTAGGCATATGTTGGCTACTTGGAGCAGCCAAAGGGCTGTTTATTTATAGAGACATTTCTACTTCCAAATTCCCTCGTTTGCCATTCCTCATATGGTCACACTGCTTTCTTGTCAGGGATAGGATGACATCTTCACGAGTGGTTTAATGACAACTATATCAGTTGACTAGTGGGAGCTTCCACTGAGCACAACCTCTCTATTCTTTCTGAAGAGGACAGCTATCTGTGTGTATTTCTGATTTTGTGTCTGACAAGGGGTCCAGAAGAACAATCAGGGAAGCAGCTCAACATGAAGGTTCACAGATCCACTGTAGTCCATTAAATTTTAATGTAGGGTGGCAGCAAGAACATAGATATCTTTTAAGTTTTCCTCTTTAAACTGAGAGATTTCCTCATTGGAGTTAACTGTGTCTCTAACTTGATTGGTGTTCCTATGAATAAAGCAATAAAATGTGTCTAAGAGTAAAAATGTGCACAACACATTAGAGCAGCAACATGTATAATGCCTATTATGCTTGTAGTTTTAAACAAACATCATCATTTCTATACTATTTTAGGAGTATGTTATATCTTGTAATTCATATTTGAAAAGAATAGAGGTTCTATGAAATTGAAACAGGAATAGAATAGAAAAGGAGCTTAATTCAAAAGTGAACTAATGATTGATATAGTACTTGGTATTGTTTGGTTATAATCCTTTTTGGCATACCCACATGCCAGAATTAAAAAAAATGAAGTAGAAGAAAACTGAAGATATTTCTCAGAGCTGAAGTGGCTTACTGTAAAGGATAACTACCTACCCACCTCCACAGTTAGCAGTTTTTCCTTCATTCAGGTAAAAATATCAGACATTTCTAGATGAAGCCTATAAAATTAGGAATTCCAGGCATGAAATAATCAAATTAGCTCACCTTTCTGAGAGAGTTTGTAGGGAAATGGACTATGAGAAGTGTGTATTTTTATTTTGGAAACTTTATTGTTATCTCCATTTCCAACAATTTAACAGGAAAAAGAAGTGACTCATTCTGCTGTGGACATTCTTAAATATCTTAACAGCAAGAAAGATCAGGGTTCAATCAAGTGCTTTCCCCCATAAACATTCAAGAACAAAAATAAAATATGAGAAATGAAAATGAATGAAAATTTGGGTTTAAATAGTGTCACATGAGCAGCAAGTGCTAAAAAGTAAAAATGTCCCAACAGGTCCAGGTGCTGAATATGGAGTTCCTTTTATGTTTGACCTGTTTATAGGCCTTATTGTTCTGTTTCCAGATCCATTGATCTTGCTGTCATCTATGACCATAACTTGCACACCCACCTGTTATATACATCTTACCTCTATATATGTGTCATGTACCTACTCCTTCCCTCTTATGCCCTTATAGGTACACAAAGCCCATTATTGTAGTCCCTACTGTTCCTATAAATGTTTTGTTCCCTTCTTATGGTATTGGTCAGTTCGACTTTCCTGACAATAATGGCAAGATTAATACTGTACTTACTTCATCACTACTAAAATTCTGTGCTTTGGAGTTCCTCCTTGATATCCTCTAAACGTTAAGTTGTTCTGACAGGTAGATACAATTGTAGCCCCCCAGATGTGTTACGTCTCTCTGCTCGGTCAATAGATTCCACTTGGCCTACATAAGGACTCCAACTCTTCCATCTCTTCCAAAATGTGACAATGTGGTCTTCTGCTCTGGTTTCTGTAAGGCAATCTTTGTTATGTCAGAGTTATAAAAACATGCTAGTCCCTAAATCAATTGGAGCCCTTTAGGTAATTGGCTACCAGGCTGCATAGAATCTAAGAACTTTGTCTTTAAATATAATTCAAAAAATATCATCCCGCTAGCACACCAGTGCCTTTCCTTAATAAAAATTTTGTATGGCTTCCAACATTCCCCTTTGCTACAGTCAAAAGTCACACTATTACAGCTTGTGTACACATTCCTCTAGTAATCTTAATTAGACATGTGGTCATTCAGGACATAAACCTGACTTGCCAAAATTGTTGTTTATATACTTGTCTTAACAACTCCATAGCCTTTAATCCTGTGCTTGACTCTGTTATGATCTTGACACAACAAAATTCTTCATGGATTCCTATGACAATGCATCAGTCCAGGAAAAGCAATCCTGCTCAAGGATTGATTCTGAAATTTTTCAAAAAAATTGCAGTGCGGTAAACACAAGATTGGTTTAATAACTGCTGCTATTTTAGGTCTTCTTGCCTTGGCTGCTACTACAACTGCCGCTGGTGTGACATCCGCCCTTGTCCTCATTTGGGGAAGAGGACATGTTTGTTTTTTCCACAGGATGCTGACAGTACGTGTTGGGTACCTAAATGCCTTGTTTGCTTTGCGAGATCTCTGGACTCTATGCCACCTGTGTCATTGCTACACCATCCATCATCGCATCCTGTGTTCCCAATTTTTTGAACTGGATTTTTGGACTCTGTTTGTGTTTCCTATGGACTGTTTCCACCACCTGGCACCCACTGTCCTCCTCTCTTGACTTTGCCTGTGATGCTGTGATTCTCTCCGTGATTCATTAATTGTTCCACATGCTTTGTACACCGTTGTTCTAATCATTGCTTGTCCCCTTAGGGTCCTTTTGTTTGCTTGGAGGGGCGACTTAGGATCTTCCTAACCTCAGCACAGAGCACAAGTTGGGGTAAAGGTAACCGTCAATATCACTATATTCAAAATTCAAATTACACACAGCTTGACCACAATTCGGTTCCAGACTCCAGACCGCAGTTATATTTCTCTCTCAGTGACACTGTGCCACAGTGGTATTTCCTGTTTCTTCCCCAAGGCCATGGCCAATTGACGGGAGCTTTCAGGAGGCCGGTTAGCCAATGACGGGTAAGATCCTCTCAGAGGGAAGTGGGATGCCGGCCGCCCCCAACAGCTTTCACTCTGGCAGAGGACAACCTAAGACAGGCACGGTCTTTCCATCCCAGTCTTGGCATGTACTTCATCTTTTAAATATGAATAAAAAAGGGGGACATTTTGGGAGCCTGAGGTTCAACTGAGTCTCAGCTACCTCTCAAAACTGCTGACAGGCCTGAGCTGGCAGCTTTCCATTCTGCCCGTAGCCTTGGCCTTGGCTTGCAGTCTGGGCTCACAGCCTTGACCCAAAACTTTGGCTTGAAGCCGGGGCCAGATAGCCTTGCTAGATAGCCTTGGCCCACGGCTTTGCTCTCCTTTCTTGCATACGGTTCTATTCTTCTATAATCAGAGATTTCTCCCTTAATTTGCGTCAGAGTGCTTGTGCTCTGACTGATGTAATGGTTTACAGTCTGTGTTCCTTTGTTCTTTTTCTCTATAAAAACTCTTGCTTGTGCTTCAATAAACGAGACTTGATCAGAATCCTGACTTGTCTCCATTTCTCTTGTCCTTGCCTCATTTTCATCCCCACCCCCCAATCCAGGTACCCCGTTGCAGACCCCGCTGGCCGGGGCAGAATGTGCTTTTCTTTTTCCCTCGGCCGATATTTCCAGGACCTTCTCCATCAAATTCGAGAGCTAGATGTTTTGGATTCTGGCACTGTGCAGCTGTCCTCTGTTCAAATCCCTGGGACGCTCCCTGGTCAGGAGCTGCCCGGGAGCTCTGTGTTGCTGCACGTTTCCCACTCAGTGCACCTTTGCGCTCAAGTCCAGCCGTAAACGCCACGTTAGTTAGGATGGCACAGGGGAGTTTGGGACCTTGGGACCATGAAGGAAAGGAAGAGGGAAGAAACAGGGACAAATTTTTCTTTTTAAAAATGAGCTTACATAATGAAACCTAAGTTTTTGAAAACTAGTACTAAAACAAAAATAACTTAATTAAAAATATTTTGGTTTTAGTTATATCATCATTTAAAATGACATAATTAAATCATTTTAAATTTGATTTAAAAAGCTCTATTAAAAAATCCATGCAATTTCATCACTTCGGGTTTAGGATTAACACTCCTTCCTCACTAGCCTGACCTCACCATGACCGACAAATGCATCAGATTGAACAGTGGGGTCTTCACTCTCTGAGCCTGTGTCTTTCATAAGTCTGACCTTTTACCTATTTAACTTTACAACTGAACTTTCAAAAGAAACTTTTATGCAGTTGCCCATACGTGCTCTACTCTCTCTGTTATCTGCCTTTCCTTGTCTATAGCAACTCTATTTATGTGAGACGCTTCATATACACTTGGAGTGTGCACGCTTATGCAAGACATAAAAACATTTTCTAA